AAATGTTTGAAGCGTTCAGCAGCAGCCCCTAGAGCAGTTTGAACCTTAACCCAGGTATCCCGAATGGAGGCCAGACGCCATCCAGAGCAGGAATGGCAGTATCAGAAAATACCGCAGGGAGAACCGTAGGATGCCTACCATTATTGACAAAAAATGGACTGTGCCCAGAGGAGTCATGAACAGCATTGTTTCTAGCAAACTCGGCCCACGGGAGTAGTTGGGACCAATTGTCCTGTGTGCTATTAATAAAACAACGCAAATAAACTTCTAATGACTGGTTAGCCCTCTCAGCTGTACCACTGGTCTGTGGATGGTAGGAGGAGGAGAAGGAGAGATCAATCCCCAATTGTTTACTGAACGCCCTCCAGAACCTGGACACAAACTGAGAGCCCCTATCAGACACAATATTGCGGGGGATGCCATGCAAACGGACAATTTCACGTATGAAAATTAGGACCAAATCTTGCGAAGATGGCAACTTCTTGAGAGGAATGAAGTGAGCCATCTTAGAAAAATCGGTCTACAACCATGAGAATAGTAGTGAACCCAGCAGAGCTAGGAAGCTCAACAATAAAGTCCATGGATAAGTGGGACCATGGAATCTCAGGAACAGGAAGAGGCTGCAACAGGCCACAAGGAAGTGCATGAGTCACCTTAGAAACTGCACACTCAGAACATGCCTGCACATACTCCTTTACATCTTTCCTGAGTGAATCCCACCAAAATGATCTAGTGATCGCGGCAGTGGACTTATTGATGCCCGGGTGTCCAGCAGTTATATTTTCATGGAACACTTTCATGATATTAACCCTTTCACATAGGGGAATGAACAGTTTATCACACGGTTTACCACTGGGCGCCTGAGGCTGCTCCTCCAGTATGGTGCCAAGCAGTGGAGAAGACAGTGAGAGGACAGTAGTAGCAATAATACACTCTGGTGGATTATAGGAGATGTCACCTGTTCCGGAGCTGACTCATTATCAGATTGCCTGGACAAGGCATCAGCCTTGGTATTTTTAGAACCAGGTCTATAAGTAATGAGGAAGTTAAAACGTGAAAGGAACAGTGACCATCTAGCCTGTCTGGAAGACAAACGTTTGGCATCCCTTATATATGCCAGGTTTTTGTGGTCAGTTATGATCAACAGGGGGTCCTTGGAACCCTCCAAAAGATGTTGCCACTCCTTGAGGGCAAGAATAATGGCCAACAGTTCTCTATTGCCAATATCGTAGTTGTGCTCAGCAGGAGACATCTTTCTGGAGAAGTAGCCACAAGGATGCAATGGTGTTCCCTGGCTTTCTCTCTGAGAGAGAACAGCCCCTAGCCCTGTCTCAGATGCATCAACTTCCTATATAAAAGGTTTACTCGTGTCGGGATGTTTTAGTATGTCCGCAGAGGCAAATCTTTGTTTAAGAGTCTCAAAAGCATTCACAGCCTCTTTGGACCATACCGTGCTACTAACCCCTTTGCAAGTCATATTAGTGATGGGGGCTATTACAGAAGAAAATCCCTTGATGAATTTTCTCTAATAGTTGGCAAAACCAATAAACCTTTGAATGGCTTTTAAACCAGAGGGTAATGGCCAGTGTAGTACAGCCTCTAGTTTTTTAGGATCCATTTGAAATCCTGATGCAGAGA